GCACGCGGCCATGTCCCTACACCCAAGGCGCAAAGCGAAGAGCCCAAGCCGAACGAAGAAGGTAGGATAACTCGCGAAACCCGTCGTCATAGTGTCTTTAGCCAACCCGCAACCACGCTCACAGTACCTGCACCCCCACCCCCACCTACCCGCACTAGTAGCCGCCGGAAGCCTCCTCCAAAGGGTGAAGTCACGAATGCAGAAGATGGCCAAAAGACAGTGACAAACGTCAAACGCGCGCAAGGCAGCAAGAACAAGCGGAAGAAAAAGGCAGAAGAAGAGGCGGAGCAAGCCGACGACATCGATCCCAACGAGCCCCGATACTGTATCTGCGATGATGTTAGTTACGGACAGATGATATCGTGTGATAATAACGTAAGCCCCCCTTTATCCACATATCCCACAAAACTCCTCCTCCCTTTTCAGCATGGAAACTAACGACATCCCCACCCACAGTGCGATAAGGAGTGGTTCCACCTCCCCTGCATGGACATGACCGAAGACGACATCCCCTCCCGCCGCGCCAAATGGTACTGTCCAGACTGTCGCGTTACACTGGGCACAGATGCGTATGGAAACCCGTTGGTTCCGCCTCCGCTGCCGGGTCGCCGCGGTAATCGGTAGGTTCTTCACCCTTTTCTCGTCTTCACGGGCCCGACGGCAAGATGTTAATGTTTGTTTGAGGGGATGGAGTACTTAGTATGGTTGATAGGTCGTCGGCTTGAAAGGACGGAAGGAAGGAAGGATATCGGTGTCCATTGGGGGGTCTGGGGTCTGGGGTTTGGTGGGCGTTGGGGATGGGATGGATTGGTATGGACTGGTATAGGATAGGCATGGTATGGTATGGTATGGTATAGTATGGTATTCTTTGCCCCAGGGAGGGCGAAGGTGTAACATCAACATCATGGGGTTATGGGTGTTCGCTGGTATTCCTTTGTTTTACTGGCATGGTGTCTGGAGTTGACAGCCGTATTTTTGTCTACGGACAGCTGTCTCTTGGGTATGAATATACCCAGCTAGTTTATCGTATCACCATGGCACTTTGGAATCGAAAGGGCTTTATGTGCCCGTTGTTTCTTGTTGATGGGGAGTGCGCGTGAAAGCTGGGGGTTGGCAGGTTTTTGTGTGTTGTGTTTGCCCTGCACCTGGGCAGCTTCCTTAAATGGTGCTGTGAGGTTTACTGTGTGCTGCGCACGGATGGTGGCGATGACGCGTGTGTTGATAGGGAAGGAACCCTCGACCCATCACGAACACACCTGGGCACAACCTCCACAATGGATAGCGTTTGACTCAGAATGCGATCTGATCCTGGTTCGAATAACCTCCCGCTTCTGATGTACACAGTGATGTTGTAAGTGCGTGTGGCGACCAGATATCCGTTCCTCAAGTAATCACACAACACGACCAGCATCTTCGACTTCCTGCTCAGCCGACATTCTCGTGGTTTGCATCCTTGGCGAGACGCCGGTGTTCACCAAACTTCCTTCCAAAAGTCGAACCCATTCACTTCAAGTCACTGTTTTTTACCTTCACAATGGACTGCTACAATGCATTCAACTGCAGTTCTCGCCGCCTGCAAAACGATGGCCAATGCTCGCCTGCCTCGTTCCGCCTTGCACCTTCCTCCTTACACCTTGCTCCTACTCTGACCACCGCGAAATCTCTAACGCTCAACTGTACCTTACTCTTCGACACTCAACCATCGCACCACAGTCACTGGATTGACGATGGCTGGCCAATCCAAGATCATGGCATCGGAAAGCCCACTGCTGCAACTTCCAGAGGACATCTTCCACGACATAATTGTCAATTATGTACACACTGTTCGTGTCAGTGAAGCTTCAGCTACTCGTGCAGTTTGCAGTAAGATATACATCGGTATCATGATATCAATCCGTATGCGCTAACATTTTGTAGAGGTATTCGACCACAAGATCCGCTATCAGATCGCCAATCACTTGCGTTATGTCTACTTCGACTATGAATACGAATCTTTTCAGGAAGATTCCAGAGATTGCGAAGCTGATAAGAGAGTTCTACATCACATGCTCCCCGAAATCCTACAGAGCACTGTTCGAAAAGCTTTTAACGATCCGCTTGTCACCTCTATTGAGACACGCGCTGAAGCGGTCCTCAAGATCGAAGGCCATCCCTACGATGAGAAGACCAAAACTCAATACGTCGAGTACATCTTCCAGTATCTGACCCGAGGAGGCAAGCTAGCAGCTATCAATCGGGCACTTCGCTCGCCCAGCGACTATCCGCTTTCTAGTTCCACAGAACGTACCGACTTAACTTGCGCTGCCGCTGTGGGGAGCTTGTGTGCAGTCAAGCAACTTCTCAAGGACAACGAATCAGACTGGCCGTCGTGGCCATACTTCCGACAGCATGCAACCAATGACAACGTCTACGCAGATCCTCTTCGAGCAGCAGCGTCTAATGGACACATCGAAGTCGTACAGCATCTACTCAAAGCGCTTAAAGACTTCGGAGGTGCAGAAAAGTGGACCGACACTTTCAAGCACCGATTCCAGTGCATCCTCAACGCGGCTATTCAATCCAAACACCGCCAAACAATTCTTACGTTGGCAGTAGTCGCTAGGAAGAATGGAATCTGGGACTCCAGCTTGACTCACGTCAATCTAGCCTGTGCTGAAGTATGGATCGGGACTGCTGTCAAGACCGGCTGTATGGAGACTTTTCAAACAGCTATGGCGGTAGTCGGGAGTACTGCCCCCATATCCGCGAAGAACATTGTGGCATATGCGATGCTCTTCGCCTGCGAGTACGGCCAAGTAGATATCCTTCGACACCTCATTGCCCATAACCCCAACTGCTTCCAGCGGGAGGGTCCCGTAGCAGGTTCTGACATAGCCCGTCGGTACAAGACTAAAGTCGAACAGACCTTGGGTATATCCTGCATGCAAACAGCCGCCCAGTACCTCCAACGTCACATCATCGATGTACTCCTCGAACACGGCGTTTCCATCAACGCAGGTTCCCCAATCATACGCGCCATCGAGTTCGAAAACATCTCCATCGTCAAGTACATGCTCGACCACGGCGCGGAGTACAATCGGCATGTACACCGCGAGTGCCTCAGGCAGCTGGGTCCTAGTGCCAATAGAGCATTGAGCGAGTTCAAGGAGACGGATATGTTGCCTGTCATTTTCTATCTCGTGGCTAAGCATATGGGCAAGCCGCGCTACTCGTTTCGTAAGAGCGGGTTGGAACAACGCCTTATGAGCTTTGTTGAGGATATGGAGGGTAGTGAGTTTTGGAGCGGGAAGGTTGAGGCGATACTGGGGAAGGAGATATTCAATGAGCTGAGATGCGTGGAGTATCAAAGGTTCGTCGTGAATAAGTCGTGGGAGTGCTATCGCCGGAGAGTATAGATGGTGTTTGCGAGATCATGTTTAGCGTTCGCAAGCACTTACAAACACATTGCAAGAAAGTGGGCGGAAGTACTACTCAATGGCTATGATACATTACTGACCATCGTGTTGCGATCTTTCGCATCTTCGGCGTTGCACATGCTACGGCTTTAGCAATATTACCTATATATCGATACAATAGCTACTGCCGGAGAATAGCGTAATTATTCTATCGAATCCGCATAAGATCACATCGGCGTGATAAGTTGCTGAGATGAAAATAAAAACGAGAAGCTGCTGTTTGCATACATGTTGCTGCAGTATACACATGTGGCGCAAGTACTGTGACAGGCCGACGGGATGACTTGGTGGCGACGTCAAAGATAGCTCTAGACTGCGAAATTGAAGGCAAGGTATGGCCTTCGATCAGCCTAGACCCCAAATCTTTTCCTATTCTCTCCTGAGCGCGCAAATCGAAGAGGCATTTTCCAAGAGATGAACAAGGTGCAGCTGGAGTCGAGAATGTCGCAACCCCACATTCCGATTCGTTCTTAGCGCCTGCTAGTAAAACCTCATTGGCGCATCAATGATCCCCGGGCCTCGTCATCCTCCGCGGGATTCGTCCTACTAACACCTCACTCATCAATATTGCTCAGCCACAACGCCCTGATGCTCAACCCGTATCTGCCGCAACGCCGTTGTGCCGACACATCATGACCTGCGACGATTGGCGGTCGGGCCTCCCGTGCCTGGAGACCGGATGATGACCGGTGGGCGGAAATCGTCAGCTACACCCTGTTCCCACGTTTGCGCATTCGCGCAGTGGGTCTGACTGCTTGTGACAGCCGTCAGGCATCCTTCAAGACTGCGATGTCTTCGACAACGTTGCCCTCTCCTTCTGCTCACACCCTGCCTTACTCTGTTAACTGCGAACACGAGCATTCCCCTCGAACGCCTCTAACGACTTTGCGCAATGTTCGCCATGGCATCATGTAGCCATGCGCAAGCCGGCCTACCAAGATTGAGCACAACCAAGCGAATATGTAGAAGGGATTCGCTGTCGTCTTCAAGGACCCGTGATTCGGGCTACAATAGCGACCCTGATTCTCTCTCACCCTTGGATGCGGGAACGTTGGATCAGGGTATTGCCTACTACAATTTCTAGCGGGAGCTCAGATCGCTAACGGCGCAGCAGACATATTTTTCGGACTTCCTCCCTGTGTGCCGAGCATTCTTGTCAATGACAAGGCTACCTTTCTCAAGAGATGCAACGTCGATAGGTCAGGGTTGGCTCGACAGAACAACATCACCAGCAACCCTGCAGAAGTCGTCACCAACCAGACATTCCTTGACACCACGCCTCCAGAAGCTCCGAAAATAGGATCTGTCAAGAGTCTTATTGATTGTGCACGTAAGGACAGCCCTAAAGACAGGCCAGCATCGGAAGACGAAGATATAGAGAGGTGGATCGACGACAATCTTCCATCAGCCAAGCGTCCCAGAGAAAGAGTAACATCCATCGTCTCCATCTCATCCACCAGCTCTTGCGACATGCATACCAACACGGACGTTAGCGAAGACGAAATGGAGCATGACGTTCGGCCGATACAACCATCTCCAGCACCCATGCAGAAAATCATTGAGCTCATCCTGCGCAAGGTCGAAATCAACCTCCGCAATGCAGCTTACAAGCAATGTACTGGACGCAGCGCCGCGCACAGCCAAGCTAGATCCACGCTACCTTCGGGTCAGAGTAGCCGCAAGACTTCTGTGAGCTCGGGATCAAAGCGCAAGTCCCGTTTGGAGGGCAGCCCACCGCCAGAAGATGATGATGACGATGGCTCCAGCAAGCGACGTCGTGGATCAACGACCACCACCGATGAGTCCGAGACCGGTGCGAGGTTCGCATGTCCTTTTTACAAACACGACCCGGATCGACATCGCAACAGGAGAACCTGTCCCGGGCCTGGCTGGCCCACGGTTCATCGAATGAAGGAGCATCTCTACCGGTCACATTCCCAACCGATATTCTGTCCAATCTGCTACGCAACATTCAAGTCAGACAAAGAGCAATCAAGTCACGTGCGTCTGCAACAATGCGAGAGGTCGTTACCCCAACAGATCGAAGGGATTGATCGCGAGACTGTGTGGACGCTGAGGAAGCGCACCACCGCGCTGAGACTAGAGGAAGACAAATGGAGAGACGTGTATCAGGTTCTCTTCCCAGATGTATCTGCTGCCGAGATACCCAGTCCCTGTAAGCCATCGCCCCACGTTGGATCTTTAACCTGCTAACAACTATCAGTCTACGATTGCGACTCGCCTAGCGAAACTTCGCGACGCTTCCGCAGAGACCTCCTACGCCGCGTACAAGAAGAGCTACTCATGGAATCCGGACAAGTCCCCACTCCAGTCGAGCAACAACTCCTACAACGCGTGGCGCAGATCGTGCGCCGTTGCGAGCACGATCTATTGAACCAAGCGCAGCCGCCATCTTCCCCACCCTCCAACCCAGACCGACGTGCAAGTGCCAGCTCTATAAATAGCTCGTACCAAGCCACGCCCCTACCCGCAGCCACTCCGGCCTTCCAGAGGCCATCCCTAGCTGTACCAACGAACATGACTGGCCGGGAACACAGATATGATTCTCTTGTTGAAGCAGATGCAGCGCCGTACATACCAGAGCCTACGATGGAGTTTGGTGATGTGGTTTGGAATGATCCGCCGTATGTTTTTGGCACGGGGATTAATTGGGAGGCTGTCTTTCCGCCTGCGCCTGAGACGCAGTATCTCGGGAGTGATGAGGGGGTTACGAATTTTTCGGTGCCGATGTGGACGTAGCGGTATCATTGCATAGGGGTAGAGACGATGTTCATGGAGTGAACAGGATGGATGTTTTGGGACATTTGGTGGATTCCAAGATTCCGTAGATATAGTTGTGAAATATAGAATCGGCTCTCCATCATGGCGTTGCTCGATAACTCATGACAAAGCAGACGAGACTTTACCTAGGTAGTACTTAGAAATGCGTGAGTTTCGGCATGCCAAGTGATTGTTGCTGCGACGTCATGAACCAAAAAATCATAGCGCGGCGCGAGTCAGGTGTCGCGTCTTTCGTCTCGCACAGGGTCTATACAAACTCTCAACGCGCCACCATGGCACCCAGAATGCGCATACCCACTGTCGAATTCCGGTCGCTCCTTCTACCGCCCGTACGAATCCCAATACGCGCCCTCCATACACTCTACCGCCCGCAATGCGCCCCTCACGTACCGCGCCCCGCCTGTCCTGCCCGGCGCCTCGAGCAGCGCCGCGCGCTCAACCTCTACAAAACGGCCAAGGCCAAGACAGTCCTCGGACAGCACAAAGTTCTCAACTTTAGCGCGTGGGAGATTGAATTTCTCGCGCCACTGCGAAGTGTAGAGCACCGAGTCAAATTATGGCAGACAGACAAGAAGGCTAAGAAGCTGTCCGTAATAGCGGAGAGCGCCTCCTTCGAAGAACTCCTCACACAACATGTCAGACCGGGGAAAATGCTCTACTGCCTCGGCGAGGTCAAGAAAGGAATGGCAAAATCACACATCGACGACCCAGAGCGGCCAATACCCGAAGAGTTGAAGGAGTTCGCCCTCCACAACGCGCACACATACAAAGCCCCAAAGACGGCGGGGCAAAAAGGCAAACAAATCGGCGGCCTGAAAAACATCATCCTCAACGAGTCCAGCCCCGTCGAATACTTCAGAATGTGCATGGACCGCGCCTACCAGTTCATCGAAGCCGGGCACGCGGTCGAATTCCGGCTGCGCCTGCAGGGCAAGATGCTCCTGAAAGAAGAGCGCATCAAGCCCGCAGGACCAGAGCGCTGGCTATGGATGCACACGCACTTCCCGCACCTCCGCCCCGAAATCATCATGAAAAGCATGCCAGAAGACACGCGCTACCTCATCAACCCCGTGTCCGACGGCCGCCTCGTCCAATGGGTCGCCGTCGCAGGCCACAAAGCAGAACCAGCCATCAACCTCGACAAACGCCTCTTCCGCATCAAGGACTCTGTGACCTCGTCCATTCAATCGGGGAACCAGGCCATGTTGCCTAGGATTATGCGGCAGCAGCTGCGGAATCAGGGGCTGGAGGATTATAGTATTAATACGGGGTTGCCGAGGGAGCAGGCGAGGGCGAAGCATGGGAAGGGCGGGAAGAGGGTGCTGAGTGGCGAGGAGAAGAAGTGGCTTAAGAGGGATGAGGAGACGGATGGGTTTTTGGTGCCGGATCCGGATGCGGGGTTGCCGATAAGGAGGCTGGATGATCGGAGGGATAAGAGGGGTGAGGGGCAGAGGTGGGAGCAGAGGGGGTATATTGGGAATAAGAATAGTCCTAAATACTAAGGGGTGGGAGATTTAGAGATGGGGGTGAGGGTGTGTGGGAGGTTGTGGACGTGTTCCAATGTACTATAACAGCCTTGGGAAGGGGGAGATTATCGCAGTCCTCAAAGTTTACAACAGTACTACTTTGGAGAATTGTGGTTATGTAGAAGTACTCGCCTCTGTGTAGAATGTACTGTAGTACAGCGATAATCTAGAGGCGATCTAGAGACGACAAGCTAACTACACCTCCCGCATTTTATATAATTTATACGCGAGAAGATACTCTACAAAAGAGAGAAGTATCGCATCTCCAAGAACCTCTGTGTAGAATATACCATCAAGCTATTAGCAGAAAATAAAATTAGGGGTTCTGGCTGTGTAGTGGTACAAAAGCAATGTACGCGTTTCGAATCTCCAACAATTAGTTCGTTTCACTAGACTCCTGCGTACGACGATGCTTGATGTTGGTGTTGGTGACGGCTTGGCAGGCAACATTGGGCAGTGACCACATCTCTGGGCCGGACATGGATACGGCCGATCATGTTTATCCACCCAAGCCACTCCTTATTCCGCGACCGTCCGTTGCACATGCATGCGTGCTAGTCAACGACCTGCCGCGCGAATAATGGCGCAGGGTAGGTGGGGGAGGCGGAGGGGAGGCGGCGGGAAGGAGGTGGGGTGGAGGAGGAGGTCAAGAGCAGCCTCGTTGTCTATGCTCCAGGTAGTTCAATCAAACTATCATAGCTTTGGTGCTACTTGCAAATGGCTGTTGTGTAGGCGCAGGTCCGGAGGTGGAGATGCCCCTAGTCTGCTCCCTGACCCGCGATCGTCCGTTGCACGCACATGCCTGGGGCTAGTGAACAACTGTTGCTGCACGAATAATGCCGCGACCCTGAGTCCTCCCGCCGCCCATTGATTCCACTTCCAACTATCCTAATCCATCCCTCGCCCAAACCTCCCCCGCCGTTCGTCATCGCCGCCGCCGCTGCCGCCAACAACTTTTTCGCGTTCGCATTCCGTATCCCAGTCAATCGCTGCCGCTTACCTCGATCGAACCTGCAACGTCACCACCCTGAGCCTCGATGAACGCAGCGCGGCAGGCGTGTCGCCCCAAGCACCAGGTCCTGGTCCTAAAATGCTACCCCAAGGTGCAGAAGAGCGATGCCGAGGCCAAGGCCAATTCGAGCGAGTTGAGCTACCTGCTCTTCTACGCCAGCACGCGCCGCAGTAAGCTGCAAAAGGTCGTCGACTTTCTGGACAAGCGGGCGACCAAGGATGTGTGGAAGGTCCGGACGGGCAATGTGCAGGTCACGATGCAGATCATCAAGGCGCTGATTGAGAAGTGCCCGCGCGACCTCCCCCTCTATGCCACCGCTGTCCTGCATATCCTGCGCACAATTCTCAATTCCAACGACGTTACTATGGTCGAGGAGTCAGTGCCGACCTTCGAAGCTCTATGCGCGCATCAAGACCCCGCCGCCCTCGCAGCCGACCAGGACTACATCAAGAAGTACGAGGAGATTGTACAACTATACGCCCAATTCGCGTCCAAGGAGACGGTCAAGACGGGCAAGGCACCAGTCAGCTGGCCGGTCGCGATCAGATACCGGAAGGCTGGGCTGCAGGCGCTGAAGGCCATTGCCTCGTCTGAGTCACTGGGGTCTGAGACCGGGCGTCAACTGGGCGCTGTCATACCAGTCATACTCCTCAACATACACTCGGAGAGCGGCGCGTATCTCAAGCGGTTGGAGACGCGGGAAGCTACCAAGGGCGAACATGAGAAGGAGCTGGCATTGCGACGGCGGCAGAGTGTGTCCACCGCGCGGACTGACGACGACGACGGCGACCCGATTGCGGCATCTGGTACAACGGAGGATGCGGATAAGCTTGCGGAAGAGGAGGTGGGAGTACTCGCGCTCCAGGCCCTGAGGAGCATATTCCAGGGTGTGAACAGAGGACAGCTCCGGCTCGCGACGTCCGCTGTGCTCAAGTTCATCGGATCGCATGTCAAGAGCCTGCAAGAAGCTGCACCGAACGAAAGCAGCCATTGGGCGACTACACTTATGGCCATGATCTGCGCATGGGTCCCCGTACAAGACCGATACACCATCCTAGTAGGCGCAGTGGAAGCCCTGGTCCGCAGTCCAATCGTAGAAGATGACCTCGAACGGCAGCTGACTCTTGCGACGATCATCGACTACCTTCTAGCCTCGACGATCAACTTCATCGGACTGAGTGTCATGGATGTTCTGGTCGGGCTTATTTCTCACTCATTGCTACTCCTCCAACTTGGCGGACCCGGGTCAAACATCGTACCGCATCATCAGCAGACAACGTCTGTCGTATCGGAGAAGGAGGGTAGCAATGAATCGTCGACGGCCAATCTGGATAGTGTCGTTATGGAAGTCGTTAAGAAGCCTTCTGATGCTAGGATGCAGCTTCTAGATACAGTGCAGAGATGCATGGCGGATCTCGCGACGCATGTATACTACACCGATCAGATATCCGATATGGTGGAAGCGATACTGAGCCGACTCAAGCCTTCGCGGCTTTCGAGCGTTTCCTCCACCACCGAAGCGATACAGAACCCCGAAGGTGCGATAGATGCTGTAGCTGATTCCATCAGTATGCAGGAGAAGACGCATGTGGATCGGTTCTTTTCCTTCGAAACAGCACGCATTACTGCTCTCGATGCTGTCAAGGCCATCATCAAGACCGCCAACACACGGAGACCAGATGGCTCATCAGCTTCCGTGTCGCGGAGCAAGGTCGGCGTGAGTGTTTGGGAAGGCACACAGTGGCTTCTGCGCGATCCGAGTGGTCAAGTCCGGAAAGCATACGTCGATGCGCTGATCACCTGGCTGAACACAGAAAAGGACAAGGAAGATTTGAAGATTGTGGACAACTACAGGCGGAAGGAGAAGGAGAATGAAAAGAACGCGCTGGCTAGACGTGCGGTCTCGAATGCTTCGAACAGGGAGAGGGTGTCGAAACGTGGTAGGGACACGTTTTTGCCATTGCTCCATCTGGCGGTATACGAGAACGCGCTCCACTATGTCGACTCCGAGGCGGACTACTTGCTCCTCCATCTACTGCTCACTACTCTGGTGAACAGGCTCGGAGTGAATGCAGCGAGGAGCGGGCTGCCAATGATCATGCGACTGCAAGAGGACATTGT